GGCGCTTCACTCCCCAGGGAAGAGGACCACGCATGTCTGCCAAGTGTTAAGGCAAGTCCTCGTTTCTGACAGAGGATGGGGTTATGAGGCCGACACCCTTGACCTTAGTGTAAAAGCGCTTTGTTGTCTCTCTTGCCACAGGAAGGCTCCATGGTTGTCCTACTTTAAGCCTTCGGTGCCTTTAGTGAGGTAGACCTGGAAAATCTTAAAAAAAAAGGCTTAGCGCCCACCTCACCCCTCCGCCCCCAGGCCAACAACGTGCTCATGTATGTACTACCTGCTCCAGCATAAAGCTGAAGTCTATTCCACACTAAGTTATTTACCCATAACTTTGGTATGTAAACAGAAAAGGCTTGGTCACCTGTTGTCCTCATTGTCCACTGGTGAATGCAACTGGAAGCTCCTTCTAGTCTGAAGAATACCATCTGAAAGAACTAGTGGTTCCCAATCCCCACATACAATACGGAATATTTGTTTAAAGAAAATAAGCTATTTTTCCTTACTGGGGCTGGCTTCTCTGGCCCTTCTCATACGTCTGCTGTTTTGAATGTTCCTGTGTGTAAGAATTAAGACCAAGGGAGGGGAGAGAGAAACCCACACAAACACAATGCACTAAGTAAGACCACTGAACTGGATTGACATTTCCACTTGCCAGTTACATTTCTTGAAGACTTGCATTTCTTGTCACTGAGTTTAAGTTGCATCTGGAAAAGACTAAAGGCTTCAGTGCCCTCCCCACCCCCCTACCAGGAAAGAACAAAAAGCATTTTACCTAAAGCACAGCAAAAGGCACTTGGCTTCAATCACAAACACGAATACTTAAAGCTGCAGAAATTTCCTCAACACTCAGCCTTTAGCACTCAGCTGGTTTCCTTCAACAATCACTACTCCAAGCATTGGGGGAAACACAACTTTAAATCATACTCCAGTCGTCTCACAATGCATTCTAATAGCAGCGGATCAGAACAGTACTGCATTACTTGCCAACAGAACAGACAGACCTGAGGTCAAGACAACCGCTCTCTGTGTAGTCTGTAAAAAAAAAAAGCTGACAAGTAAGCCCCGCCCCCTCCTCCCATCCCTGGAGCATCAGAGGGGAGATGTTACTTGAGTATGCTGATAAACTCACTGCAGGGTCTCACACACTAGGAGAACAGAAGGCAGAGCCAAGCGCTAGATGCAAGTCAAAGTTCTGAACAGCTTCATGAGGGATGAAATGAAGCCTCTGCAAAGGAAAATTCTTAAAAAACCCACATGCCCCCCAACTCGTGTCTACATAAAAGGCCAATCGTGTGGACATCAGCTAACACTGGATGAGATGGTCATAAGCATTTAAGTGAACATGCAAACTTTGGAAATGTAGACAGTATTTTATTGCTCTAAGTTTACAGACCCCTGGACTTTCTGGAAATAGTGTAGGTGCAGTTACCTGGTTTTCTGATTATCTCCCACCTGTCCTAAGAGGTATTTATTCCTTATTTAGAGGCCCTCTATTGCCATGTGCCTGGCATTATTAAATGCTCATCAATTTATGAAGAATAAAATTTGTCTTTCCTGCCTTAAGAGTTAAATTCCTTCTTCCGCTCAATTCCTGATCTTGTCCATTAAAGAGTGTTCGCAAAGCTTCTGAAAGATGAGAAGAATCCCCCCAGATTGCCCAACACTAACCACAAAACAAACAGTACTTTATTTAAATAAGACAACTGCTTCCTAAAAGAATACATTCTCTATTAAAAATGTTTTATTTTGAATGATTTAATGGTTTTCTGCACAACATACAACAACACAACTTTTAAATTTTAGCAAGATTTAACATCTGATTAACAGCACATTCTTATCCTATCCTATCCTCCGGTTTTCAATTCAGTGCTAAACAAAAATTTCAGTTTTATTATTAAGTACTAATCTGGAGAGGCTTGAAGAATTAAATTGCCTCTGAGTGAGGTGCTATCCCATCATGGAAGCCCACAGGTAAAGTCCTGTCTAATCTTAAAAAGGCTGAATGGGGAACTTCCTCACAATCCTGGAATCCTCGGGAAGGGACCAGGAAGGAGGTCATGTTCAATACTTAAGACCTCCACAGCTCTTAATAAAAATAAGCACTTAGCCCTAACATGCAAAACTGCAGATGCAAGTTAAACTTATCTGTAACAGTTGCCTGCTGTTTTCTGCTCCCAGATGAAATGAAGCAACTCTTCTGATAACGAAGAGAACCTGTCTGAGGCAAACGAAAGATTGGCAAACAGCACAGCCTCCTCTCCTCTGAATCCACTTGATCCCAACTCCTCTCAATTATTTCAGCTTCTTTTATTCCGGGATTAATGTAGTATTATCATTTTCATTTCATTTCATTTATATCCTGCTTTTGTAAAAGCAGTATTTTGAGATGGACATATGATCTTCATTGTATTTCTCAATTCATTATTTAATTTCTCATCGATTCATTTTTTGTGGGTATAGCTTGATAAGCCGTAACTTTAAAATGGTAGATTCCATTAACTTTAAAATGGTAGCTTTCATTTGCTTTTTTTGGCATATGCAGACAACGTTTTCATCAGTAGTTAGGATCTCAGGGTTATGCTTTTTCCCCAATGAAGGTATGAAAATATAATCTTTTCTGCTTTTACTTATCATTCACCAAGGAGTTGTTCCCTCTCCATCTAGGCCATCATTATTGCCAGGCTGGTTATGACTCAGAAGATGTTATCTGAAAAAAGTCTACAGAAAAAAAGATTTCCCCTCCCTCGTCAACAAAGCCCACCCTTTCTTTTATCAGTTATGATTTACAAACTTAGGATGCAAACATAAAATATACAATTGACAATAATTTTAAAGCATACCTTAACATCTTGTTTTGCAGTCAAAGGAAAAATGTTTTTCCTACACTAAAAAAACACACACACTTGCTCATGTACAATTAAAAATAAAATCTTACTTGATAACACAAAAGCTACCATCAGAAGAAATCCCTTCAGGATCATTAAGCCACTTCCTCTGCTCTGAAGCTCCTATAGTATTAACTTTTATTAAACCACCTGAAAAAAATTCCAAAAGAGAACCAACACACTACCATATCCAAACTTTAGTGTTCAAAAATTCCCAAGGCATTCTCTTTGTCAGCCCAGTGGGCTGGACCAACCCCGTCCAACACTTTCCTTCCCCAGGCCCTGCATTTTGAATCCAGTGGATCTTCATGAAACTTCCCAGCTGCTCAATTCAAAAATTGAGGGCAAACAAAAACTTGAAGATTGGGAGTTACTTGCCAACATGGAAGTTGAGATTCCTTAGTTTTTTCATCCTAAGTACTTAAGTTCTCTGGCATGAGTTTATCTGAAATCATAAACTAAACAATTACCTAAACCCAACCCCCCCAACCCCAACCATAACAAGCTACTGCCAAAGGCTGCCAAAATTTGCCCCGCCCCTTTTAATAAAAGGTTATTTTAAAAGTCACATTATTTGAAAACTTAACTTCAACATTTGGCCTAGTCAAGATCTTCTTAAGTTCTCCTGAGATGACTGAATGTGAACCAGAGCTGCACTGTGCTGTACCTTTCAGCTTCAACTGGGAATACTCTTCCAAGAGAAGAAGCAGCTCCAATCCCTAAAGGCGGTGTTGCCAACAGCGTATCGGCACAATCCTTTTCTAACCCAGTTTGTCAATAGCACTATAGCATCTGTGGAAAATCTTAGAAAAGAACATTTTGCTCCCCCCACCCTTTTCCCCGTTAAGAACACCCCAAAATACTTCAAATAAACTTTTAAGGATTACATACTTTTAAAATCTGATTATGGGGTGGAAAAAAAGAATAACTACCAGCCATTTCTCCAATGCACAGCTCCTCCACAGACCTCAAAGGAGAACTGCTCGTGCTCTAATTTCTAGAAACTGTAAACCTGTGATGTTCTGATTATCCTGATACTGGATTTTCTTTTTTTCTGTTACCTTGAGTCATTTGCCTTTGAGATTCTAGACAGACCTAAGGGGAAAAGAACTCAAGACATTTTGCCCCCCCACAAAAACTTCCCCCCATACACGCCCAAACTTGACATTCACAAAACTCAAATGTTTTATTACCCCAAGCTAAAAAAACAAAACAAAACAAAAAACAGCCGCTTAAAAACTTGCCTTAATTTTGTCTCAATTCATGTTTCCCTCAAATTGGTTAAAAGACAAAAACCATAAAACTTGCCATCTACCATTCCTCCGGGCCTTGGAAGTCTGCCCTCTGCCCTCAAAAGCTTCAGACAAGATGCATGAGAAAATAAGCCTGAAAAAGAGAAACCTACAACACCCGGAAATCGGCCTACATTCCATAAGCCCTTGCCGCTTAACAACGCCCCCATTACCGTTAGTGAAGTGAAGGTTACCATACTCGTTACCAAAAACCAGGGCGCGCGGCCGGCCTCCCGGACTTGACCACCACTGGCTGCCCCGCGGCCTCGCACGGACGCCCGCTGCTCTAGGCTCCTCTATCTATCCTGCAACCGCCTGCTCGCCGCCTCCGCCTGGTCGCCTGGTCGCTCGCTGGCGTCAGCACGCCGCACGGGCTCCGCCTCCTTCCCCGGAAGCCTCTCCTAGCTTCACCGCCACGCGCTGCTCTTCCTGGCTAGCTGCCTCCACAGCACTGCTCCCGGCTCCTCTCCTACTCGCCAGCCGCCGCGGCCGCTCAGTCCCACTTCACCACACTGGCTCCTGGGATCCTGTCTGTCGCTCCTGTCGTCCTAGCTTCACTGAATCCACTTCTGTGTCGCACCTGGTCAGCTGACAATTATCGCTAAGTCCTCAGGTTTTACTTCATCTGAGCTCAGTCCAAAGCAAAAGCGTTAAGTTGGTGATTATTCTTGATCTCGAATTACTTCAGTTATGAAAGTCCTTTAAATTTTCCAAAGAGAACTAAGCTAATGTATTTAGGCCTTTCAAGATTTTGTAAGTCTTCCAAAAAACATCCTACCCTTAGTTTTAAAATTACTTCAGTCCTTTTAGTGGACTTTTGCTATTTTTTTTTTTTTAGCTGATTTCCCTTCTAGCTTCTTCCGGATATTCTTCTAAAGTAGGCCTGTTCTACAGCAATTTAAACATCCTCGTCTTCTCAAAGCTAACTTCTGCACTACCAGAAATTAAACTTACGGGTTTTTATAATAAATTCTTATTAATTACAAATTAAAAATTTAATTTCCTCCTTTTGTTCCTGTACTATCTTCTAGCTGAAATACTTTTCTTGACGACCTTCTATCTTCTACTAAACTTGTATCTTCTCGTTTTCTATCTTCTACTTTTCTACTAAACTTGTATCTTCTCATTTTCTATCTTCTACTTTTCTACTAAACTTGGTATCTTCTCGTTTTCTATCTTCTACTTTTCTACTAAACTTGTATCTTCTAATTTTCTATCTTCTATTTTTCTACTAAACTTGTATCTTCTAATTTTCTATCTTCTATTTTTCTACTTAGTCTGTATCTTCTCATTTTCTATCTTCTATTTTCTCTTTTTATCTTCTATTTTTCTACTAAACTTGTATCTTCTCATTTTCTATCTTCTACTTTTCTACTAAACTTGTATCTTCTCATTTTCTATCTTCTATTTTTCTACTTTGTATCTTCTCATTTTCTACCTTCTATTTTTCTACTTAATCTGTATCTCATTTTCTATCTTCTATTTTCTACTAAACTTTATCTTCTCATTATCTTCTATTTTTCTACTTTTCTGTATCTTCTCATTTTCTACTTAATCTGTATTTTTTTCTATCTTCTATTTTCTACTAAACTTGTATCTTCATTTTCTATCTTCTAGTTTTCTACTTAATCTGTATCTTCTCATTTTCTATCTTCTACTAAATTTGTATCTTCATTTTCTATTTTCTACTTTCCTATTAAATCTGTATCTTCTCGTTTTCTATCACATTTGTATCTGTGCCCTTAGTTGCTTTGGTTAGTTTGCCTAAATATTTTCTCTTCTGCTTTCTACCTTTAGGACTTAGTTTTTCTGTCTTCTAAAATGCATGTTGTATCTTCTATTTTCCTGTCTTCTCTACGTCTTTTTCACCTTCCTGTACACTTCCGTCTTCCAAGTTTTCCACTTCAAATTTCTAATCTTTCTCCAAAATTTTATCCTATGATTTCTAAATTAACAATTGCCCATCTTAAGCTAATAATGCCGTAATAGCAACTGGGCTTCAAATGACACAATCTTTACTGCGCCATGAATTTTAAGGCCTCTCTTAAACCAATTTTTCTCTTTTAAATACGGCATTTAATATATAGTTTAACCACCTCCAACTTTCTTTAAATCACAATTATGTCCTACTTATGTCACCTACGGTTTAATGGCATTTTTAAAGTTTGCCCTTCAATTTAGTTAAGGCGTTTTTGAGTTCAGACTTTGCAGTCCTATCAGCCATTTCTTTGAAAATTATTTTACTTCGTAAAGAAGTTTCATCTCTTAATCTCCGTCATGTTCTGGAAGTACTTTTCTTCTCTCTTCCTTTCTGAAACTACTTTTTAAGTAAGTCTTCATATTTTCCCTTAAATAAGATCTTTGTTACAAAAGTTAAAATATTAATGCTAAGCAGTATCTCAGTAAGTATCTTCCTTCGCTATTTACATTTCCTAAAGAATATTATTTTCTATCTCTTTTTAATAGAAAAACTTATCTGGTTTCCTCAAGTAGTGCCTCGGTCTCAGCAGTCATCTCTGCGCTCGCTGCCTGAATGCCTGCCGCAGAGCGGGGAGAGGCGTATTTATGGGCGAAGGACAACTCACGCTGTTGGCATTCAATAACCCTCCGCAGCCTTTGTGAGGGAAGCAAAAGTAGTTCCTAGGAAAGGTTAAAAATAGAATCTGGTTAACAAGATTTTCTAGTTTTTCCCAACCGTTTATGCAAAATAATTGCAAACCATATACCCAGAAATATTTGACTCATTAGCAAGTAGATTTGAGCTGAAAATTTAGGCAAAATCCATGGAAATCACATTTGAGTCCACCATCAAAACAGCTCACAAAACCTCAGAGCCATTGCTTGGGAATCTTTTAGCAGCTTTGAAAATACCTTTCCTCGAAGTTCAGTAGGTACTATTTAGTGCTTTTTGAAGGCAGGTTAATACGGGTTTGCTAAAGGCCTTAATTTTCATTATGTAACAGAGACCGCAGCCATTTTGGCTGTGGCAGTGTTGAGGTCCTCCCTCCCCCCCCCCCCCCCCAACTGCTCACGTCCTGAGAGTTGACTCTGGGGTTACACCACGTTTTGATTACCCGTTTATTTGAGAAATCCAGTGGTCTGGATTATCTGCTTAATTCTGAATGTGAGAATCCACTAATAGAACATGTCTTAGGTAGGCACAATCCACTGTTACCTCCGGCAAGAGTCGCACGTCTCGGACGCCGCCTACAACCTGAGGCATCCGCGCGGCTCGCTGTGGGTTTTACTTGCTTAACGTCCTTTGGTTTTGCCATTCCTGCCAGCTAGGCCCCATGCTTTTGGTTGCGTGCTGAGACTTTAAATCGAGCCTGGTTTCTGTGTTCCTGGGCTTTTCTCGAATTATCAACATCCACACCCGCTGTCAAAACTGAGGGGAAGTGCCCTCTACAAAGTGCCCGAACCGCGAGGGTTCTGCCTCTGAAGACACAGTGACCTGGGCAGCCGGGCCAGGCGGGCGCGTCAGTGCCCAGAAGTCGCTTTTCTGGGCTCGTGTTGTACAGAGCTACCCTTTCCGGTTCGGCTGCAGGCTAACACCTTCGGCCTTGGAGCTGGAAGGAAGGCACTCACTCACACAAAGCCTTTCCTCCCTGCAGCTTGCTTTTCTCTTGGCCGCCCCCTCAGCCTCCCCACAGGGAAAGCGGGGTTAGGCTCCGGACGTGGAACCTGCAAACCCGGGGCCCAGGCAGCAACGAGCCCGGCCTCCCCAGCGAGGCCTGAGGGAGTGGGAACGGCGGCACCGGAGGCTCCCCGCACAGTTTCCACGCAGCCGACGGGGCTGCACAGAGAAGGCAAAACCAGGGCGAAGGGGATGGGGGCCCCGCTCCCCTTAGTTCAGTCTCCCACCCGGCGGCCCGGCGCGGCCTGGGCAGGGGACCAGGCTGGGGGAGGGGCGCAAAAAAAACCCCGGTTCCAGCCGGTTCCAGCCGGTTCCAGCCGCCTCCGGGAGCCGGCGGTTGGCGCAGCGCGCCACTGCGCAGGCGCGCCCCAGGAAGAGGCGTTGGGGGAGGGGCGCGAGTCCGGCCCGGCTTCCTGGGCGCCCCTCCCCCCGCCCGGCACGCGGGTTGCTCTCCCCTCCCCCGTCGTCCGTTCTCAGCCCCGGCTTTTTCTCCCCTTGTCAAAGTCACCACTGATTTAACATCTATAAAGCGGCACGTCTTTAGGCAGGGAGTTCCAAGGGGGGAAGATGGAGTTTAGTGACCGATACGGGTTAGAATGGCAGCTAGCGGGGGAGCGGTGTGATTAAAGCCCCTCGGCTCTTGTCTGACGCGGCTGTGAAGGTGGGAGCCCCTGGGGCTGGCAGTGAGGGCGCTGCCTCGGGGGACCCCGCCCGCACCCAGTAAAGCGGGGCCGGGTCTAACCTCCCTCGGCTTCTCCCCTCCCTTCAGGGGGTGCCACTGAGATGCAGGCGGATGTCTGCGCTGGGGCCGGAAGGAGGAAAACGGTCACCCCATTTCACCAATGCGGATTCGGGAGCCCGGGGAGTTTGTGATTTGCCTAAAACCAGACACAGCTAATTAGTACCGGAACCTATTCTCGAATCCCAGAACTTGGACTTCATGGCGCCTCTGTCAGCCCCGGGAGGGCGCGGGCCCCTCGGGATCGGCGGTCTGGTCCCACTCTGGAGCCATGAGATGAATGTTAAGAGCCCGAAAGTGCTTCAGATAATTGTCAGAATGTCCCTCCACTAGTCCCCCATCCCCTTTACAGATTATAGCATTTTTCTTATATTGTGAAAATGCTGTATATTGTTTAATTCTCCTTGGGTTTGGGGAAAAAAAAACAAGAGGATTTGAATGCAGCTCAGCACTGCGCTAAGAGATGGCTTGCCAAGGCCAGAGAGAAAATTCTAATTTTTCTGATTGGTAAATGAAAAACATTTTAGAGATGATTATGGACACTAACTCCTGTTTTTTCTGTTCAGGCTCAAACACTGATTGCCTTCATCTCTCCTAGCTTCTGCTTTCACAAAACAGTCTCTAAAATATTCTGATTCCCACCCTCCTCTCCTTTATATATTGATTTAAACAAGATGGTAAAATCACCGTGTTCTTTGATGAGATTAATATGTGCCTTCCCTCAACTCTGATCTAAGAAGATCTTTAACATAAAACTGCATTTTTCAAGGCGCTTTTCCCCTTGCCTGCATCCATGTTTCTATTAACTTCGGAATGTCAGGTTGATGGCTGCTGCTCTCTCCGCTGGTACTTCATATCCTCCTCAGTCTAAAACCTGGCCTTCATTGGAGCCTAGAGATACAAATTTAGAGGGCAAATCCATTTTGGCCGGTGTCTCTTGTTCCCTGCCCCCACCCCCAAAAAGCCGAGGCTAAAAATAGGAGGTCCTTGGTTTCTGGCAGTCACCCCAGGGAGGAACGCCAATGTGACCTTGGGCACTAACCCAAATAACTTCTCAGCAATTTTCTTAGGTGTAGAATGAGGAGATTAGATGGCGGAAGTGATGATGCTGATGCTATAAAATGCAGTAAACAAAGCGAGGGGAGGAGAACATGGGGGATTTCAGATCCTGGTTTTGGCTTCGAGGCGGTAGGGCACTGAAAAGGACTAAAGGAGCAAGATTTAGAAAGAGGGCTCTAGGGCCTTCTGTCAGCAAGGCCCTACCTCATCCCCCAGACTCACCCCAAGGCCAGAAACCTCCAGAAAATGCCCGAATCCTTCCCTCTTCAGTCAGGCTTACTCAAGAGAGAAGCTTCTGAGGCCCTTCGTGTTTGGGTCTGGGGTCCAGAGGCAGAGGGGTGAGGCTTCAGCTACACCTGGGTCCCCTCCAGGCCTCTTGTTTCCTTTTAATCTCATCCTTGTGGGGGTTTTTCTGATCCTGCATTACCAGAGCCTGTTCTAGAAATGCATGTCTCAAAAGGCAACGGGTGTCCCAAAGAAACAACTGGCTTGTTTTCTGAAGACTAGGAATTAGGAGCTCCCAGCCCCCTCCTGCCGCCCACCTTCCAGAGCTGATCTCTGGAACAATGACCACAAAACGTTCAGCTCCTCCTCTGCAGAGCAGCCAGATCCTGCGGCAGGAAAAAACCCAGGGATGACTCAGCTCACAGCTCCCTTATGCGGAGGAGAGATCAACAGCAATTAGAAGTGGCTAAAGGAGAAACACCCTTAATCCCCGAGTAATTTATCGTCCAGTGAGTTAGATCTGTAAACCAATCACAGTACAATGTGATCATTGTATTTGTGATATCTACAGCAAAGATATATACAAAGAGCTATGGAAAACAGGCCTGGGGTGGGAGGGATGGAGGGCAGTATAATCCTCTGAGTGCTGCGTAGGAAGTAGAGGGTGAGGGGGACTAACCACTACACAGAAGAACTGGGAGATGATATAGAAAGTAAGAAGTTATCTTTTGTCGGCCGAGGAATACCTGACCTCAAGAATATATCGTTCACAGTGACCTGAAAGTTTCGTCTTTTAATAACAAAAAAGTTAAAGAGACTCCATTTTACTTACCAATGTCAGGAGTCAACAGTTCACTGCCTCACTGGCTGAAACACTGCCACACGCTAGGGCCTGTTGGGCTGGGAAGAGTCCAGAAATAATTCTTGACGTTATTTCTTGTTCTACCCCAGGGGATAAAAGTTAAGGATTCCTAAATGTGATCGAAATGTACAGTGTTAGAAATTCCACCCTTAAAAATAACCTTTAACCATGGACACAAACACTGATGTGTGAAAATAGTCATTCTAAAAGCTGAATCTGGAAAGAAGAAAAAATCAAATGTACCCTCCAGCAAAATAAATCACATGAAACAGAAAAAAAAGGAGGGGGGCTAGAAGTGGCTGTAACCCTGGTCTTCCCCCAAAATGCTGCCAGGAAGAGGCAGCCCTGGCCTGTCCCACACAGACACCGGGCAGCATTAGGTAGAATAAGGGAAACATTTTCCTCTTATCTTCCTGAGAAAAGCATCCATCTTCTAAATGCACCTCCCCTAAGACTCAGAAGAAGGGTTCTTTGTGATAGGATCCACTTCTGGGGAGGGGACAACGGTATCTTGAAAGAGCAGTTCCCCACCCCCAGCCCCAGAGCTCCAGGCTGCTAGTTCCCTCCTTCCGTTTATTCCCCATATAAAGTATGTCTGGTGCTGGCCCTGCAGCCTGCTCTGTGGATCTTTCTAGAAGGCCTGGGTGTGGCAGTGCAGCTGTAGCACCGTGAGCTGTGGGAGGAGAGTGGCAGCAGTGGCCAGAGTGTGGCTCTCAGAGGAGCAGCTTTAGCCCCATCACAGTAGAGACTTTTACTGACCTCCTCCCCCCAGGAGAGAACAGAGTGCACTGGCGTTCCTTGGCCCCTCCATTGCCCTGGTGTGTCTGCAGGACAGTAGACCCAGCATACAGCTTTCTGTTCTGTGACATTCAAAGAGCACTGTGCATGATCTTCTCAGTCCTCCCAACCACCCTGTGAGGGAGACGCCGCTGTTACCCTGCAGCGGTTCTCAACCTTCCTCATGCCGCGACCCTTTCACACAGCTCCTCATGTTGTGGGGACCCCCAACCATAAAATTATTTTCGTTGCTACTTCATAACTGTCATTTTGCTACTGTTATGAATCGTCATGTAAATACCTGATATGCTATATGTGTTTTCCGATGGTTGCGACCCACAGGTTGAGAACCGCTGCCTTAGAGGGATGAGGAAACGGAGGCCTAGGAGGTCTGTCTCGGTATCACTAGTGCTTGGTGCACAGTCTTGAGATTAAAATCCCAAGAAGAACAGTGAAGAGAGCCTGGTGATCGATGCTCAGTAGTGCAGCGCCACTGAGCGACCCAAAAGCCAGCACAGAAGGGGCTGTGAGAGAACCAGGGTTCCCCCTCCTGGAATGTCCTACAGAGACACTTGTCTCGGTGAGCCCAGTGGTAAGGGAGGTTTTCAGCAGGTTGTTGTGATGTTTAAGTCCTGGAGAAGGGTGCTGAGTATTGCTCGTAAGGAAGAAGGAAGTGATGAGGCACAATTTGACGTGACTCTACAGGAACAAGACGAGTTAGATTTGATATGAACACACTGCCCATCAGGATGGAGTGACTGCGTGGAGCTGGTACTGAGTAAGAAAGGGGGAACTGCTTCCTCTCTGAAGAACTTCTGGACAGACTGTGATCCGCGAAGGCAGGAGAGAGGACCCGAAGGCCGCCTCAGGGCTCCATGGAGCTCCAGTTGGGCATTCACCCTCGAGGGGAGGGGAGCGAGGGGAAGGCTTGGCCTTGCTGTCATTCCGCTATGTGACTCACTGCGGGGAGGCCGAGTGTCCAGCCCTCCCTTGTGCTGAGGCCTCCAGTTACTCACCCTCTGAGGCCTGCTGAGTGGACCTTCAGAAATAACCTGAAGGAATAGGGAGGCTCCCCAGTGAATCACGTTGACCTTCTTGTATCCCCACCTGTGATCTGTTCAATCACCCCTTTGAGGTCCCGGCAGATGTTTGTGTCAGCATCACATACGCGTTGCACACCCAGCAGGAAGCTCATTAAACATTTCACATCTTCCGTATGTGTGCATTCTTTCTCAACAACTGTGGCCCACATCCCCACAGAAACAAGTCCTGTAGAACAAGGGGGCAGAGGTCACCCAGTTCCAGGAACTCTGCCAATGGTGTATTTCTCAACATATGCCAGGTAACACAGAAGCCCATAGCATTATGGGTCCTTCCTGGGGCTAAGGTCATAGTAGAGCCGTACAGTGACGGAGGTGGAGTGGACCTTAAAGCTCATTACGTGCTGGGAACCCACTACAGAGTAGGGGAAGCAGGAAGAGAAGACTAAAGTGAGGTCTGCCAGGGCTTGAATTACCTGGAGAGGGATTTGAACTGGACTCTTTGGGCAGAGGATGACTCCTGAGCTGGGAGGGGGCCTGGCTTTGGGAAATGCTGTGGCTGCTCTTTGCAAGGTGGCCGAGGGGGGAGAGATGGGAGAGGTGGGAGAGGGGAGGGCACTGGTGTGTCCATTCTTGCAGCCCAGGCAGGCCAGAGGTCATGGAGGCCTGCATTGGGGTGGGTGGTGGCCATGGGACAAGGGACAGAACACAGGTATAGAAAACCTGCCTGAGGCTCTCTGAGCTTCCCACACTGGTCTCTGTGGCACCCCTGGCGTTTCCAGAATCATGTTCTTTACTCTTGATGACACATCTGCTTGGAATATACCTCCCTACTCTTCAGATGAGACTCGTTCTCTCAGCCCAGACGGCACTCCTCTCCACGGGCCTCTCGGACCAGCATATCCAGTCACCTGGCATCGTCACCCCTTAGTTATCTCACCTCTGTCTCAGCACAGCCTCTGTTTTCCTGGATGATGCTGTGTTGTTTACATGTCTCCTGGCTCCTCTGAAGGCCAGTGGGAATGCGGGGTTTGCAGCCGGGTTGGTGGGAGGATGAGGTGCCACTGCTGGAGCCTGAAAGTGGACAGAGAAACCTCAGGCTCACTCATGCCCAGAGGTGGGAGAGATGACCTGTACAACCTAACTGAGGGCGATCCCCCCCTCTCCCACCGCCCTCCAGCTGTGGACAAGGATGCAGACACCATAGCCATGTCATTTTGTCCTGTTTGGTAACCTCACTTTATTGCCCTAAGGCCAGGGCTCCATCTGGCCCCCACCCCAGCTGTTGCTGTGGTGGGAGAACCTCACTGGAGGCGGGCAGAGCTGAGATCCTGGGCAAGGAGAGGTGGGGGTGGGGAGGGGGAGAGCTCCTGGTGTCTTCCCAGCTCCCCTCTCACACAAAGTCACTTCTTCCACTTGGGAGCTGTGGGAAATATACAAAGTGCTCCCCCCAAGAGAACTGAGCAGACGTGGTGCACTTCCCGTTTAGGTGCCTCTGGGCTAGTTCTGGGCCCCGAGGCCTTGTGCTCTGGCAGGCACAGGCACAGGAACTGGCCTGGCTTCAGAGCCCTGACAAGATGGTGGGAGCTGCCATTCCTCCCTTTGCCTTCCCGGGAGCGGGAATCCTAGGGCCTGTCAGTTGGGTGACAATTCCAGTTTCCAGGTGGCACAGTGCCCTGGGTGCCTGAAGCTCTGACCACCTTCTGTGGCTGTCACAGTCCCTGGGGGAGCCCTTGCCTCTCCAGCCTGCAGCCCACACAAGCAAAAGAACTTTGGACTCATCAGGGCCTGGGAAGAAGGTGGAGCTGAGAGCAGCGCTGGGAAAAGAGCCTGGGTGGAAATTTCCATGGCTGTTCTGCTTCAGCAAAGACGTCAGCTGAGACCTTTTGGCCTAGACAGAGACCAGTGGGCTACAGACCATCAAAGTCACACTGAGTGACCCTTCCTCATGTCCCAGATGCTTTTCACTTACTGTCCCACCCTGAACCAGGGCCATAAAGCTCAACCAGCCGTGTCCCCCTGTCCCCTCTTTCTAGCCCTGCTTGCTATCAGATCCCTAGCTCACAGGAGATGGGGAACTGGTTCCTGAGCCTACCCATCAGGAACCAGGTCAGAGCCCTTTCCTCCGGCAGGAGGCTGCTCAACCGCCAGTCCTTCCTGCAGACGCCTGTGGCCTTTGTGGTCCAGTGACCTCAACAGCACTCCTGTGAGCACACCCTTCACTCAGTGACTCATCTGTTGTGACCTTAAGCTATGGCTTATGACTTCTGTTCTTTGTTATTGTCACTTACCATCCTTGAAAACAGAGTTGGGGTCTTCCTGCTGCCCCGCCTCCGCTCAGAGTAGCTCTGCACATGCTTACCCAGCACCGGGAGGTTGCTCCTGGCCTCACCCCAGGTTCCAGCTGCTGCAATGTTTGTAGGCCTGACTCCCTCCCTGCCCAGCACAGCCAGTTCTACAGGATGAAACAAGGACTGGGCCGGTCTGGCCTTACCCACCAGCCCTCAGCTCTTCCCCTCAGCCTCAAAGTCACCCTCCTTGTTTGGTGAAGCCTCCCTTCAGCTCCCCCGAAAACCATGGCTCTCACCCCCTCTGCACCCCTCCCCAACCTCATCTGGTCCTGTACACCGCAAGCATTAGAGAGCCATCAAGGAGAGAACGGCCTGGGAGTGCCGCACGCGCCTCCAAGCCTGCGGCCTCAACATGCTCTGTGACACAGGCAAGTTCCCTAACCTCTCTGAACCACGTTTACTCCTCAGTGAGATAGAAATGTGCTGTGCCCCAACTCCTGTCAGGGGTGTGAGGCTACCAGGAGCTTGGTACAGTGCTGGGCTCAAATGATTTGCGCTATAAATGCTGTCACTACCAACGTGGACTACCTTCCTCCCTCTCCAGCACCAAGCACAGCCCAGAGCATGCTCCCCTTCCCAGGCCCCTGGATTTGACCGGGGCCAGGCACCGCTAGGAAAGGGTTAAACACTGGCACTGACTTCATCCCGGGCCCCTCAAGCAGGAAGGAGGCAGAAAAGGTAACACAATCAGGCTGAAGGCTGGGTGGAATTTTCCAGTCCTCATAAACAGGACCAGCCTGAGTTGCTAAGGGAGGTCACCATGGAAACGGTCACGTGTGCAGGCCTCCTTGTTATTCCAACCTGGCTTGAGGCCGAGGACTCCAGCTCCAGGCCTCTTGATTGGCTGCCACCGTCCTCTGGCCACTGAAATCCAGCAGGAGATTGGCCGGTGGCAGTCGCTGGGCTCGCGTTAGGCCTTCCCCACCCCCACCAGGAACCTGCTGGAAGCCGTTGTGGGAGCCCGAGGAAGAGACAGATAGGCTGCCAAAGATGTTGCCATAGCAACGGCCTGCCTTTCTGCCCTACTTGGAGATAATAGTTAACTTCTTTGTAGTTGAAGGACTTTTCCAAAGGCAGAGAGGGTGTCGGCCATTTTACAGGAACCTGACTTCCCCGCTTTGAAGGGGGCAGCCCTCAGCTTCCAGAGGAACCAAGGCATTTCTGAGCCTCCGCTTATCAGGCCTGGGTACCAGCCCACCCTGGACTGAAATACAGGGTGGGGCAAAAGTAGATTTACAGTCGTTCATCTGGAAAGTAATACAATAATTAATAAAAAATAATACAAGAATAAACTCCGGTCCTGCTGGCATGGCTCAGTGGTTGAGCGTCAATCTATGAACCAGGAGGTCACGGTTTGATTCCTGGTCATGGCACATGCCCAGGTTGTGGCCTCCATCCCCAGGGGGTCCTGCAAGAGGCAGTGATCAATGATTCTCATTATTAATGTTTTCCCCTCTCCCTTCCTCTCCGAAATAAATAAAAAATATATTTTTTGAAAAGGATAAACTCTGGGTTTCGTGTACTTACAACTGTAAACCTACTGATAGGTCTGATCAAATGATGAGTCAATTGAGTGCATCCCCCTCCCCAGCGCACTGACCTTTAGCCACTTCACAACAGTCCCTTTTTGCTTCGACCACATTCCAGCTGCTAAGACCATTATCCTTCCCCTCAGGACCCGCCCAAGAGAATTCTCTGCCCGAAGAAGCCCGCCTAGAGTCCTTTAAAACCTCTGACAACCCAGCCCCTGGATGCTGGCGCCATTTGGGGGCTCAGCCCATCTGGTTTTCCAGTGACCTAATAAACTCATAATTCTTTACCCCTTTTGGCCGGTGTGTTCCTCCTTCAGCGACTCTAACACCTACCGTATTTGCCGGCGTATAAGACGA